TATTTCGTTATTCCATCGTGCTAAGGTAGATGTCGCTACCCAATGCTGCGGCGTCTCTCCAGTTAAGAATTGATAAACGGCTTTGGTGCATTCTACCGTTGCACGTATTGAGGTTTGTCCTATAGTGCTAATATCAGTAGCTAATTTTACAAATCTCGCATTGTATTCATTTTTATTAATTCTAAATAATTTATTGACTTCTCGTTGGAATTGAGCAGGACGAATCTTATTTGCTTTACGAATAGAAGCCCGAATTTTTGAAATTTGGTTTTTCTTAAATTGTTTAGCTCTCGCTACTTTTACAGAAAGTGAACGAAAAGACCTACGTCTTTTTTTTAAACGCTGATTCTCTCGTTTTAAATTATTATTTTTTAATTTTAATGCACCAATAGTATGATTATGCTTATAAAAACCAGTGTTTATAAACTCACATGCCTTTTTTTGTAAATAGGTAGAAATTATTTCTCCTTTACGCTCTCCTTGAGAATAAGTCATCATTCGAAGAAGTTCAGTTGCGTTAAAAATTTGGTGATCAGGTAAATTTAAAAGCTGTATAAGCATATCGTTGCGTTTTAATTGAATACAAGTATTCATTTTTCGAGATTCGATTATATTTTTTATAATATAACTGAAATCTTCATCATCCAATTTTTCAAAAATTGAAACTAGGTAATCAAGTAATTCATTTCGTTGTTCATATTTTTGATTACTTCTACAATTTTTTAGTTGATTAGTTCGTGAATTTAGTCGACCCATTAAGATAACACTTTGTAATGCGGTCTTGTTATATTTGGGATTGAGAATTAAAAAAGTTTATTATGCTTAGACTAGGTATGTTTTTGAAAATTTTTGAATTAAATAAATATGATTAAATGTATCTAATTTAATTTTTATATCTATTTATCAGATGGATTTGTTAAGAGGCGCGATAGATTTAATGATTATACACAGTTAATCGAGAGTTACGGGAATGGTTTTTTATTTAAGTATATTTTTCTGCTAGATGAATACAATTAATTTTCTATCGCAACGAGCTTATGTCTTTTTAAATATTTTGCAGTTGGGTATCGCCATCATCAGTTGAATTCGCAGCTGATTGAAATCGAATAATTAGAATCAAAAAATCACAATCATCAGATTAATGTTTTATCTTAAAAAGATGGGAATAATACGAGCAGATGCAGAAAATTAGTTATTGCTCGCTCGATTTTATCATAGCATACTTTTTATTATTTGAATACTTATTTATATTTACATTCAAATGCGATGCGTATTTCGGTTCAATAAAATTGCTTATTATTTCATGTAATTCTATTATTAAATAAAAAACGAATTGTTTTTCTTCGAATAAAGATACAATAATGAAACTTTGTTTTTTAAATATTAATTATATTTTATTAAAATTACTATTCTGCATTCGGCTTATATTAAAACTTTTAACTTTATTATATCAAATAAAATCGATCAAAGCAAATTATTTTAATCATCTAAAAATGTCGATAGTTTCACGGATCATATTATAAAATTATGCAAAGTGTGATTTTAATCAGGTATAATAGTCCCTCAGATTGTATTATAAAAACTTTGATATAGTAAATGAGCGAAACTTAATTTGAGCAAACAAATAATAATTCTAGCATTTTTGGAAAAAAGTGCAACGAATGAAATCTCAAATCATCCTTTTTAATAGCTCTTAATTGTAAGTATTGTTTATTGAAAATATGGCAATTCACTATTATAGTAATTCAAGAACTTCTATAACGATTTTTAAGTTAAAGGTTTTTCTATAATTAGATCTCAATGCGCGAAATAAATGTCAAATAAATAATCGTATATATAAATTTGGAAAGAATGCAGTAATAATTTCTAACGCGGGCACAAAAAATCTTTCATATCAATATGCATTAATGATCCTCTAAATGGTTGCGTATTGATGTTAATAACAATTCCTACAACGTAACGCAGAAAATTCTTCAATAGATATTCTAAATAGACTATATTGATATCTACATACTTTCTATATTCGTACCAACAAGATTAAAAAATATAATACCAATACACCCCAAAATAGTAAGTAGCATTAATAACGCAACTGATCTCAAAATTCGAATAATAAGAATTTTAACAAACCCTTCTGTAGTCTTAAACGTATTGAGTTAGATGAAGTGAAAAAATTAATTCTCTTTTACGGAATTCTTGTTTGATATAGACTAATTATTAACTATGATTAAACAATTAAAATAATTAAAAATTCTGCAAATCCGAATCTTGCAATTGAAGTTATTATAGTAATAACATCTGCAAGATTGAAGTTAATTGTATAATTTAAAATAGGGATTGGATCCAGAACGGCTGTATTATAATAAATTACCCGGATAACTCGGGCAATTTGATAATACTGATAATACTGAGCAAGAATTTTCTCAGAGGGTCCAATCCCAATTTTTAAAATCGCGAAAATATATATAAGTAAATTATTTTCCTTCACTTTTTCATTAATTTACCTATATCCAATATTACGTTCAGAATCTAATAATGTCGACATCACCTTACCTAGTTACTGATTCTTCAGAAGAATCTTCCCATGAAAATGCCCAATGTTCTCTTCAAAAAACAGAAAAGCATATCGATAATTCCAAAGGAAAACAATTAAAAAAACGAAAGCTTGAATCCGTTCATAAATACCTCGATGAGCTTAGTGATGAGCTCGAAGCTTCCAAGTTCTGTAAGCGATGCAAAGAGGACGTGTCAGTTTCACATAATCTTGACTCACAAGCCAATAAATTTTTTTATTCAGCCATTAAATCGCACTGTATTGAGTCTTTAAATCACGATTTAATGCGATGGGTTGTTATTAACAAACAACCATTTTCAATAGTTGAAGAGGAGTCGTTTATAAAGTTCGTCTCAAACCTTAATCCATATTACAAGATTCCTTGCAGCCAAATCTTCTCCACGAATGTAAAAATATATTTTGACTTAGCAAAAGTAAAAATTAAAGAAACCTTAAAGAACAATAAAAATAAATTAGCACTTTCCTTAAAAGTTTGGACATCACTTACACAACAACACTTTCTTGTAGTTACTGTCAATTGGGTCGACACCAAGTGGAAAAAGAAAACTCTCCTTCTTGACTTCATTCCCTTAACCGAAACCTATACAGAAAAATACATTGGCGAAAAAATTCTTGAGCTGGTTAAAGATATGGGAATAAAGAAACAAATAATTGGCTTTACAAGTGACAACGTAGTAAATAATTTGAGTAACCCAATCTGTCTAAATTTTCTTCAAAGAACCATAAATTCTGACCTTAAGTATGTGCACTGCATTGCACATACTATTAATCTCATTGCTGAAGCTGGTCAAAAAAAATATTATAATCAAATTCAGAAGGTTCGGCATTTCTGTAATAAAATAAATTCACCTTCGGTCCTGGAGGAAATGAAAAGAATTTCTGCTATCCTAGGGTGTCCATTCCAGCATCCTTTAATTGATGTTGAGACAAAATGGACTTCCACCTATTCGATGGTTGAGAGGCTCTATCAAATCCAATCCATTACTGATAGCCTTATTATATCTCGTCCAAGCTTAAAAAATGATTATTTAGAAGTTGATGATTGGGTAATTATAGAAGAAATGATACCACTTCTCAACCCATTTCATACGGCAGCTTTAGTCCTTTCAAGTACTTCGCAACCTTCCCATGGGTCTTCACGATTAATTATTTTGGGCCTTTCAACGCATCTTAATCAATATACTTTGATTAATACACACGGCGGAGCAGCAAAAGAAATGAAGGATAAATTACAGGAATACTGGACTTATCTT